AAGTGCCAGCCTTGGGAGCACTTCACTATTAAAGGTAGTAATAGTGGCCATAAGGTGCTGGATAGATTGCCTTGCGTGCCCTAGAGCACTTATAGAAAGGAAACAAAAGCAGCTCAAATCCTGTCTGAGAACCAAAAGAAAGCTCCAATAAAGTTCTTTTAGCCACAGGGCTGTTTTTGCTAAAATCTAGCCCAAACTTTACTTGTTTGTGCTTCTGAATCGTACTACTTGGATCCATAGTCTTGGCAAATTTTTGTGACTATCAGGGAATTGACAGAGAAAGAGCCTCTAAAACTGGGAGGCCAGATTAAATCAATAACCTCAAATTCCCAAGTTTCCCTGAGACTCCTTTGCCAGTGGAAGGAGCTGGCCTTTCTATGTCTGGGGAAATTAGCTGTCCTTTGATTAAAAATCCCACTATAATCTAACCTGGAGTAAATGCCTTACAAGGTGACACTTGTCCTCAAAACTCGCTAAAACTATACCAGTCCAATAACTAGGGTCAAATATATTAGTATCCTCTGGGAGTAATGTACTTACTAGGACCCAAGAAGACAGAGCTTATATAGTTTACATACCAAAGGATTATATAATTGTGTGTGTGTGTGTCCATCCTGGGACGTGTGCTGGAGTGGATTCTGACATCAGACTCAGGAGAGATGGATTTATTGATTTAGGTACACTTACTAGAGATTCTGGATTTAATGCATTAGAGTCACTTCCTGCTGTATAAGCCAATAGCTTATTTATTTGGTTGACTGAAACTTGGGATTCAGTGGCCTATGTGCAATGAGATGGAAACACTGGAGCTTCCATGGAATGCTACAGAAGAGGGAACATAAGGGGTTAGAGTAGTAAGAATGCTGGAGTGGACTCATCATAAGTTATCTGCATGTCCACCTCAACACGTCATCTCCCAAGAAGGCCTAGAAGGCACTCCAGTCAGTACAGCATTAATTAATACAATAAATTAGCAAGGGCATCATCTGTATCTTTGAAAAGCTCTGTAGTTGCTTTCCTTTGTAGACCACATATGACCATGGAAGATACCACATGGGGCATCAGTTGACCATGGACCTGAGCTTCCCATTGTGAGCTGCATGCTGTTTGAATCGACTAGCTGTAAGTTTGAATACACACACTGTCAAATGCAAATGGCCTATAAGATCAAAGTAAGTGAGTCACAGGCTCTGACTTCTATTGTGTTACCTCTTCCCATCCAATCTATGCCTGCAGCTTCCTGGGGAGTTCCTTATGACCAACTAATAAACTGTTTGAGCCTAGTTTATAAGTGGATCTGAATAACATGCTTGTACCACCCCAAAGTGGATAGCTACAGCATCACAGCCCCACCCAGGGTTGACCTAATGAGCACTCGTAAAAGAAAATCCTCTCAACAGATAGAACTTTGAGAATATACTGCCTGCTTTATGTGGAACGATGAGCACAAGTATGGGTCTACGGGCAGTTGCTCTACAGCAGCGGTTCCCAACCTGTGGGTTGCGACCCCTTTGTAACAATGAAAATACATCCTGCGTATCATATATTTACATTAAAATTCATAACAGTAGCAAAATTACAGTTTTGAAGTAGCAATGAAAATAATTTTATGGCTGGGGGTCACCACAACATGAAGAACTGTACTAAAGGGTGGCAGCATTAGGAGGCATTAGGAAGGCTGAGAACCACTGCTTCACAGGCATATACAAATCTAAGCATAGTTGTTAACACTGTGGCTGGATGGTCAAGGAGAGTAATAATAAGACTGGAGGATCGGTGACAAGAAAAGCGGGGGAAGAAGTAGATGAAGTAGATGGATGTTTGGAACGGGCACAGACTGTGAAGGTACTTGTGCCCAATGTGGAGGCCCACAAACGGGTGGGTCTCTCTAGCAGGTAAGAAGCCTACTGAGGTTATGGCTGAACACAAGAGAAAATACAGAATAGGTCTGGGAGAAGGACGCCACAGATGCCAGCTATGGTCTTACCACCAGTTAATTATGAAAACAACTAATACATAATTTCTCTTACCATGTGGATGTGTTCATTTGGCTCTATTAACTGTCTCCTTCTTGTCATAGGGAGGTTAACCTTAGCAATGAGTCTTTGCACAATAGTATATTCAGCCTCACTATAAGGAAATTTGAGAAGTAATTAATATTACTAGCTATAAAAATGATGGCTTTGGGGACTAGATGCTTCTTCATTTGGGTAAGTGCAAGAATTTCTTGTTCTAAGTTCAAATGTGTAGAAGGTACACACAGAAGGTGAGTAGCCAAAGGGTGCTCACTATGCCAGTTATCTATTTATCCCCTCTCACCCCTAAATCTCCCACCTTTGACCTAGTTTTGTGGAACTGGCTTGAACCTACATGTCTCCTTTACCAGTTTGCACAGTGTTAGGCCTTGTCAGTAAAGGGCACTGGAGGAACTCTGAGAAGGGGGTTTGCTTCTTGCACCCTTAAATATTGGTAGTACAGCCTACAGGGCTAGATTTAAAATGTGGTCCTAAGAGCCCTGGAAATTATTTCTATAAAATATGATTTAAAATGTATCTGCCATTCAACTTCACCGAACCAGTCACTATGTTGTCTTTTCCTCTCAGTCTCCTTTCTGTCCCTCCCACCACTGCTTCACTTCCTTCAGGGTGTTTACCAACCCCAGATCCCGCCATTCACACTGCACAGGGGGGCCAACCCCACAGAACGCGCTGCCCTTGTGCAACACAGCACCTTGCCCCCTTCTCCACCTACGACACGCATAACCCGTGGGGGCATGGCTTCCACTACTCCTTAATCACACTACTCCAGAACTTTGTAATTAGGAAGAAACAGGACACATTTTAAAACCTGGTGTGGGTTATCAGCAAAGTTGGCCATTGTCTTGCATTGGTAACTTCTTGAAAATACACCAAAAATGCATCTAACCAAGGTATGAAAGCAGGGTGAGAACCTAGGTTTCTTTCCATTGTAATGACTCCAAATTCCAATCCTCCTACTTCTTTCAACTTCTTCATTGCAGTATAACAGATGCTTAGTATACAAACAAATATTGAGTATACAGCTTGATGGACCAAGTACTCCAACTACAATACAATTAAATTAGATTTTAAAAAAAAAAAGGAGAACAAGAAACTCCATAGGTTAAAGAATAAATCATAATGAAAACAATTTTTAAACTTAAAACCAAATAACAAACTATACAATTTTTAGGATGAAGCAAAAATCTACCTGATAATTTTAACATTATTAAATGTACTTTTTCTGATGAACATACTAGTTTTCTTTTATGAATACCATCTCCCCTCAGAAGGAATTGAGAATGAATAGAAGGTACAGGGAAACCTGGGCATTGTATTCAAGGGCCATTTCTCTCTTCTTCCTACATGGATGACCTGAAAGTCACTTCATTTCTCACTTTCTGCTTATTTTTCTGTTTTCTAAGGTATCCCCTGCCTCTTTATTGTTTAAAGTTTTTGAGGAAGATTTAAAATGTAAATAAAGAATAGGATCAGCAACGAATTTGGGGAGGGCAATGGAAATATTATAGATCTTGATGTGTAGTGCAGTGACTTCACAGGTGTAAACATTTGTCAAAATTAATTGTGCACGTTAAATAAACAGTTTATCATACAAAAATTATATCTCAGTAAATAAATTTAAGAGAAAAGAACACTGTTGAGGCACACAGGTATTAAGTAACTGCTAGTTTGTTTCCCTCCCCTCTTCCCTATATATTCATAGAGAGAGAGAGAGGGAGGGAGACTAGTTTGTTTCCCTACCCTCTTCCCTATATATATTCCTAGAAAGAGAGAGGGGGGGGAGGGAGACTTGAAAGGAGAAACACTTAGGCATCATCCTCCATATGAAAATCCTTAAAACTTTTTTTTTAGAGACAGAGTCTCACTTTGTCGCCCTCAGTAGAGTGCTATGGCGTCACAGCTCACAGCAACCTCCAACTCTTGGGCTTAGGTGATTCTCTTGCCTTAGCCTCCCGAGTAGCTGGAACTACAGGCACCCGCCACAACACCTGGCTATTTTTTTGTTGCAGTTTGGCCAGGTCTGGGTTTGAACCCACCACCCTTGGTTTATGGGGCCAGTGCCCTACTCATTGAGCCACAGGTGCCGCCCAATCCTTAAAGCCTTTTAAAGATAATTATGAGGTTATTACTCTGGGCTTCCTCTCCTCCACACTAAATCCCAATATCATTAACTTTCCCTATGACTTTGACTGTTCCATCCTTTTACATAGCAAGATTTTAAATTTAGATTGTACACCTCTCCTTTAAGTTAAAGAACAAATAGTAATTCACATACATTACAAAATATCTTGAGGTTTTTAATTGTTACCTCCACAGGCTATGGGCCTCATTGGTGGCACTCTGTTACCAACTCATGTATTAAAAGAGGATTATTATATACACTTAAATCCTGTTAAGTTGAACTCACAGGAGGCCAGCTATAAGTCACTATTTTGAAATCTTATTGATTACTAGCTGTATCTATACTCCCAAAATGAATTATTTTTAAACAAGAATAGCTAAGATACCTTAATTTTAAATTTGCTACTACTGTTAGAAAAACTTAACCCTTCAATTTCCTTTTAATATATCAAGTGTAAGTTTTGCTACCAACTCAGTTATCAAGTATTTATGTATTCTAAAGTAATAAAAAAATACTTCATGTTGGACTTTTGGCATTAGTAAATTCTCTAGCTGTTTTGCTAGTAATATTAAATACAGACTATCTCCCCTAAATAGCTTAAAATAGAGAGTTCACTCAAATGTATTATTTCTAAGAAATCTGGCTAAAACTACCATTATCCTGACAAGTGAGATTTTTGTTATTTTGTTTTTGTTTTGTTTTAAAGGCGTAATTTTACACTATGTAAATATGAAGACATATGTTTTCATCTTAACATGTTTTGTTTACTTTTTAATAACTTCTCAAATTAGTAGATTTGAAAATAAAATTACCCTCTTCCCCCAGTCCATTTCACTCACCTACAAAAGGGGCTGGAAATAGTAGGTATCACATAACAAATCCCCCCATTCAGGCAAAATGACCTGTGACCAGGACCACAGGGCTCTTCGTGATCTAAAACACATACATGTATGAAATAGAGAAAGGCAATTAAAGTTTTTCTAATGCAACAAGGAATAGGAATAATTATCTTAGAATGAAGTAGCAATTCTAAAATTCAGAGTTAAGAATTTTTTTCTCAAAGTAAAAGACTTAATCTTATTCCTTATTTGATAGGAACTTTATGTCTTTGAGGGAAAACTTAATCCATCCTAGAGATATGGCAACTAATTATAATGGATTCAGAAGCTACATAATAGAAATAAAGAATCTCTGTATTAGTTAGATTAAAAAGTGATTAGGATCTTAGAATATAAACAGGGCCTTTCTTACTGAGTACAGAGATTCTATAGAATTACTTAGAGCTTCCCTGTCCCAAGGTTTTATTTTGATTCTTATTTTTCCTATTAGAATTCAGATACATTAAAATCTGAAATTGTGGTGGAAATAAGATTTAGATAATAAAGATAAATTTTTATTTCCAAAGTTATCTTTAAACATTCCTATATGACAGTCTTAAAGTAAAATTCCAAAAATACTTGTATAAGTAATTGCAAAGTAATTTTATGTAATAGCTAGTAACTGTAAAGACATACCCAAAGTTCTAAAGTTCAATTATAAACCTAAGTCATTGCTTCAAAGTTCTAAGTCAATTATAAAGCTAAGCCAAATCTTTCAGAATATTAAGAAAATAAACCCCCCCCATTACCTCTTGTTTCTTTTCTCTCCCTCCTGTCTCCATCCCCACCATCCTTCTTTATCTCTGACCTTTCTTTTATCTTTCTTTTATCTCTTTGCCTTCCCTTTCTCCCTTGGTACCTCTCCTCCCTTCCAACCTCATCCTGACCCACTATGTTTAAAAAAAAAAAAAAAACCCTTTCCTTTGACTCCTGGAAACCAAAGCCAAGAAAAAAAATCAAAATCAAAATAGAAGATTTCATTTATGACAAGAAGAGAAAATAGCTGAATACTTTATCTTTCAGGTATATAGGGGGGAGTTATTTTACTTTAAAATTACATGTTGCTACTTCCTAATTGTTTCTGTCTAGGAAATGACCCAGAATCATCATATGAGAAAAAGAAAATGACTTTACTCCCATTAGGCCTCCAATTTGGCATTTTTTAAAAAGTATACTAAATAAAAAAAAATTGTTTTCTAGCATTTATTTTCCACTAAGATGTCCCTGCCCATAAAGATACAATTGCTATGAGTCAGATATCTCCACAATTAGGATTTGAAATTTTAAACTTTATTACTTTAGATTGAGAAGCACCTACTTCACCATGACATTATAAATATAGAAGTAAAGAGCTGTAGAGAGGAAACCAACTCTAGAGAATTTAACTGGTAAAGAAGAAAGTTAAGTAACCAAAACCATGGATTTTTAGAATTTTCTTTTTTTTACACATCCTTTATTATAATCAAAACGCTTTTAACAAGAAATCTCAATTAACATTTCATTGCATCAGCATCACGAGAGTCTTCACCTAGGGTTTTCCGCTGAGGGTGCAATGTAACCTCAGCACTGTTAAAATACTGCCCTTGTTTTTTAACTAGATCATAACTAGACATGTCTCAACATCTGGTATTCTATCAGTTAAAAAAAAAAAAAAACTCATCTAACCTGAATGCCTATCTTTGAATCTCTGAATCTACTTTTATTCTTTCTGATTTCTTTCTTTCTTCTTCTCTTATTTATATATATATATATTATATATTGAAGGTTGTGCTCCTTTATTTTACAACATGTGTTCACCATCATTCAGTTCAGGAAGGAGGAAAATAACCCTAGAGGCAGTGAAATGGGACAACTGAGGAAAGTAAGGGACCTGGCTGATTTCTTGATCTCACTGTTGTCCAGGCTGGAGTGCAGTGGTGTTACCATAGCTCACAGCAACCTCAAATGCCGGGACCCAAGTGATCCTCCTGCCTCAGGCTCCCAAGTAGCTAGGACTACAGGTCCATTCCACTCCAGTCAGCTAATTTCTTTTTTTTAGAGATCTCACTTTATTGCCCTCAGTAGAGCGCTGTGGCGTCACAGCTCTCAGCAACTTCCAACTCCTGGGCTTAGGCAATTCTCTTGCCTCAGCCTCCCAAGTAGCTGGGACTACAGGTGCCCGACACAACGCCCAGCTATTTTTTTGTTGCAGTTTGTCTGGGGCCGGTTCAAACCTGCCACCCTCAGTGTATGGGACCAGTGCCCTACCCACTGCACCACAGGCACTGCCCAAGGCAGCTAATTTTTAAAATTACTTTTTATGAAACAAGGTCTAGCCATGTTGCCCAGGGGAGGGTCTGGAACTCCTGACCTCTAGTAATCTTCTCACTTCAGCCTCCTAAAGTGCTGGGATTACAAGTGCAAGCCACCATGCCCAGCCACTGACTTTATTTATTATTTGAGAAGTTGATTTCAGATACAGAATAAGCTACAATGTGTCAGTATATAAAAACCAATAAAACACGTAAGTCTAAAACAAAATAGAGTAGAAGCTCTGTAGCTGATCACACCTCACCACTTCCCTACACTGACCACCTCCTGAGGTTGACCTAATTTTCACAGACCAGACGTGCACCACACGTGTGTGTCAGTACAGTAGACTTAGTTCCTTGTTTTCAACACTTCTGCATATTGACCAGTTTGCTGCAGTCCCCTGGGTGGTCAGCTTAACAGAGGTTCTTCTTCCTTTGTAACATAAAACTACAGATCTTTCAAAATTAAACTATTTCATATTTCTGGGAAAATGTCAGATGGGAACAACATAGCTTTTTGTTAATACACATTTTTAGTTATTGTTCTATTGGTATGAGACATACATTGGCAAAAGCATAAACTTACAAGAAATTACCTGTTGGCATCTTAATTTTTGAATCGTCTCATTCTCGGTCAAAAATTAGGGTTGAAAAACAGCACCTAAAGCAGTTTAAAATTAATAACTTAGGAAAAATTATCTCCTTTTGAGGACATTATATGATGTCAAATATTCTACAAGCAATACTCTTAAATATTGAAAATAATTAAGACATTTACATACCACCAAAAAATTTAATTTTACTGTATATATTTTTAGATATTTATATCAATAAAAAGTGCAAATAGATAAAACTGAAAGATCAACATTAAACAGTATAAGTGCACTCAATATAAACCACTGCCTGAATAATGTAATTTAGTCATGAATACCTCCCTGCAGCAAAGTCTAATAAGCTTTACTTTTAGTCAGCATCACTAATACAGTAGTACACCGTGAGACTTCATATGAAAGACATGGGGCAATAAAGGAGACTGAGTGACCCAGAGTGACTTTTTGCTTCTTCATAAAGCCTATTTATAACCTGACTTTTAAGTAAGATGGGCAGCTTCCAATTTTTCAATTTATTGAAAACAGACAAACCAATACTATAGAAAAATCTTTAACAGTATTTAAAATTGGTATGTTTCTATAGAACCTTTAAAACTTTTATAAAAGCACTTTTAAGTTTCCTATAGATTACACAGCACATATACCCGTCTACACATGCCTTTCTTTTAAAAAATGTCTGGCATCTGGCAAAGCAAAATAGCTAATGAGACATACTTATGTGTAAGCTCATTTGCTAGAACAAATACAAAGGACTTAAAACATATCTGTAGAGATGTAGCATTTATACTTACATTATGATTACAAGCTCTCAGCTCTGTTCCTTGTTGAAGGCCACCTACTCCTGACCTAAGCACAAAGACTTTGTAACAGAAATCTCGATCTACAGCTTCCCATCAACACAGGTGTAATACCAAGGTCTTCTCCCAAATCCAATTGCTCTTTCTTCTACAAACAGAGAGAGGGGGTGGGGGAGGGAGAGAAAGAGGAGGAGAGAGAGAGACAGAGAGAGAGAGATATTACCTATTTGATTTCAGATAATCTCTGGCTCATTCTGAGTTTCTTTTTTCCAAACAGTTAAGACTTACCCTCAATAAAAACTTAAATTCATACGAAAATAAATTTAGTTGGCTGTGCAGTATTCTTTTGGAATACTACAGACTACCCCAGCTGTGACTTGTATTTTATAACATGTCAAAAATCTGATTTACACGGCTGCAGTGTGCAATGTGGGTGACGTCAAGACCAACCAAGGTGTGCACAGAGGTCAGGCACTGTTCGAGGGAACCACCCCCTTTAGTCTGCATGTTCAGAGTTGCAAATGGAGCAAAATCTTATTTATAAAAGGATTTGTACTAAGCTGTACTCCCAAATCACTGTCCAAGTTTTAAAGTTATGAAATAAGCCACATTCTTTAGACTCCTTACTTATCTTTACTTGTCTGAATAATTCAAGGGTGTTGTGTAAGTTTGGGAGAAAAGGAATTTTAATGTGGAGCTAATGGATAAGTGTTCCACAAGATATTTTTAAAGAATTTTTTTAAATCTGTGTTTTATCTGGTTTGTTTTTCCTTACAGATCACATAAAATTTACATATGTAATGACTTGAACTTATAAAACTAAAAGAAGGTAATAGTTATAATAGAATTTATAACACCATATTCAATTTAAAATGAATATAATCAATGAACTTGGCTAATTTGACTAATACTGATGACAGTACAACTACCTGATACTATGCCAAAGCTATTATACGTATATTAAGGAGAACTAAGTTTTTTTAAAAAAATCATAAATGATTTTAAAAGATTGACTAAAACTCTAATTTTATTCAAATACAATACAGAGGTCGTTGTCACATAATTATCTAAAGCACGCCAAGAATTTAGATAGCTATCTTTTCTAAATTGGCAATTCAGACATTATTGTTTGACTATTATAAAAACATAGAAAGTAATGCATTTGTTCTTTTTAGAAAATAAACTCATACACTATGAATCAATTCTCTTCATTATTACATATTTTCTCCCACATTCAAAGGCAATTTTTACATAGCCAGAAGCATTATACAGGCATACCTCATTTTATTGTGCTTCATAAATATTGTGAGTTTTTCTTTTTTTAATAAATTGAATGTTGTGACAACCCTGTATTGAGCAAGTCTATCAGCTTTCCAAGAGCATGTACCCACTTCCTGTCTCTGTGTAATTCTTGGTAATTTTTGCAATACTTTGGTAATTCTTACAGTAATCCAAACTTATCCATCATTATTATGGTGAGGTGTGACCAGTGGTCTTTGATGTGACAATTATTCTAATTGTCTGAGGACAACATGAACTACACTCACACAAGACAGAGAACTTAATCGGTAAGTGTAGTGTGTGTTCTCAGTGCTTCACTGTCTGGAGGGTCCCCGTCTCCCTTCTCCTCAGGACTCCATATTCCTCAAGACACAACAGTATTAAAATTAGGCCAATTAAGAACTCTACAATGGCCTCTAAATGTTCAAGTGAAAGAAGAGTGACACAGTCTCTCACTTTAAATCGAAAGCAAGAAATGACTTAGTGTCAAGTTTGTGAGGAAGGCATATCTAAAGTTAAGATAGGTGGAAAACAAGTTGAGCCAAACAGTTTTTACAAAGGAAAAGTACTTGGAGATTAAAGGCGCTACCCCGGAGAGCACGTGAGTGATAAGAAAGCAAAATAGCCTGGTTGCTGATAGGGAGAAAGGGTTAGTGAACTGGATAGAAGGTCAAGCCAGCCACAACACTCCCTCAAGCCAAAGCCTAATCCAGAGCAAGGCCCTAACTCCTGTCAGTTCCTGAGAGAGGTTAGGAAGCCATGGAAGGAAAGTTGGAGGCCAACAGAGATTGGCTCATGAGGTTTAAGGAAAGAAGCCATCTCCATAACATAAAAGTACAAGATGAAACAGCAAATGCTGATGTAGAAGCTGCAGCAAATTATCTAGATCTAGCCAAGATCATTAATGGAGAAAGTTACACTCCACAACAGATTTTCTTATTTATTTTATTTATTATTATTATTATTATTTTGCAGTTTTTGCCTGGGGCTGGGTTTGAACCTGCCACCTCCGGCATATGGGGCTGAAGCCCTACTCCTTTGAGCCACAGGTGCCGCCCTTCATTATTATTATTATTTTTAAAGATAGAGTCTCTCTTTATAGCCCTTGGTAGAGTGCTGTGATGTCACAGCAACCTCCAACTCCCGGGCTTAGGTGGTTCTCTTGCCTCAGCCTCCCGAGTAGGTGGGACTATAGGTGCCTGCCCCAACGCCTGGCTATTTTTTGTTGCAGTTTGTCTGGGGCCAGGTTCAAACCTGCCACCTTCAGTATATGGGGCTGGTGCCCTATCCACTGAGGCACAGGTGCCACCTTAACAACAGATTTCAATGAAAATAGATGAAATAGCTCTCTGTTGGAAGAAGATGCCATCTAGGACTTTCATAGCTAAAGAGAAGCCTATCAGCTTCAAAGGGTCAAAGGACAGGCTACCTTTTTAGGGGTTAATGCAACTGATGGTTTTAAGTTGAAGCCAATGCTTACTTACCATTTTGAAAATCCTAGGGCCCTTTAAGAATTATGCTATATCTATTCCCGTCTATGTTCTATAAATGAAACAACAAAGCCTGGATGACTATATAAAATCAGGAAAAATTTTAAAGACTGCTCAAGCTTCCTGATATTTTCATTTTTCTTTAGTTCTAGAGAGAATATAAATAAAATATTATTAGAAAAGTTAAAAAAAAAAAAGGCTCGGCACCTGTAGCTCAGTGGCTAGAGTGTCAGCCATATACACCAGAGCTGGCACGTTCAAATCCAGCCTGGGCCTGCCAAACAACAATGACACCTACACCCAAAAAATAGCCAGGCATTGTGGTAGGTACCTGTAATCCCAGCTACTTGGGAGGCTGAGGCAAGAGAATCACTTAAACCCAGAAGTTGGAGGTTGCTGGGAGCTGTGATACCTTGGCACTCTACTGAGGGTGACATAGTGAGAATGAGTCTCCAAAAAAAAACAACAACAACAAAAAAGGAATAAAGGAGAGGGATAATTAAAGACTACATGTATTCTGTATAGCCACAGAATAGGTGAGCAAGGTAAGAAAGAAAAATCAAAGATAACCATCAAGTATTGCTGAAGTTAAACAAATAAAGAACTAGGTACTAGGGAAATGCATATTAAACCCACAGTTAAGTGATGTTAGCAAGATGATAGAACAGAGATGCCTAGCATTTGTCCTCCCCACAAGAAAGGACCAAGGAGATGAATAAATAACTAAGATTTGACTGGAGTGTTGAAGTGAGAACACTGGAGGGCAGCAGGGGAGTAGAGAGGCACCTGCGGTGGACAATATGGCAGCCCCTGGTTTCGGCAGCCCCTGGTTTCTGCAGTCCTATCTCCCCCCACCCTGATCAGATTGTTCTGAAATAGGAGAGACTTCCCCTTGGGGGGAAAAGGTAAGCAGAAGAGCCCCACCAGCCCCCACTTCTATAACAAATACCTACAGTCCTACTCCAGGAGAACTTCAAAGTCCTCCCAAGCTCTGAGCCCAGTTTGAAGAACTGCCAGGAATTCACATAGCTGCACTGTTCCAGATGAGGAGCACAAGGTATGTGCTCATCACTTCCCACCCACCTCCTATGAGCCAAGCTTCTGCAACACAGTGCTATCTTGAGACCAGAGGCATCTCTGGAGTCACACCCTCCTCTGAGGACCGATAGCTGCTACACCTCTCCAGCACTGGGGCTATTTTCATTCTACCAAGCCCACGTGAATGGATAAACACCACAAGCTCAGTGTACAGAGACTGGATCCAGAATAAACTATGGCTTTGGACAATAGGGAAACCAACCCCTTACTACCTACACTTCCAAATAGAGGAACAGTCTGGCAGTCCCACCCAGGGCTAACCCATGCTTGAAGCAGCCAAACCTCTGCATGCCTTCCCTCATGCAAGAAGAGGCCCCTGAGCCACCAAGCAATTGACATAACCCTAGGCAAGTAAAGTGGCTCCTGCCTAAAACCTAAAAACAAAAAAAAAGAAAAACTCATGGCACCCACCTCCCTGTAGACACACTCCTGGCATGCTCAATGCCCTGTGCCTGAAATCAGGGGCTGAGAAATGGCCCTACAGGCTTCCCATACCAGGCATATCCCCAGGCCAACTGAGCAGCTGTACTGGGAGCAAGTGACAGTCCTGTGGGTCACCTCCACCAGGCACACATCCAGGCCAGCTAAGAAGTGATGTGGCCATGTTCTAAGGCCAGAGAAACAGCAGACATGCCCTTAGGCCAGATAAGCAATCATGTGCCCACACCCCTGGTTGGAGTAAAAGCTCTGTGGCCCCAATTTCAGTGAGTAAGACTCCAAGTTGGCTGACCCACCATGTGCACACCCTTGGCCTTTGACCTGAGAATAGCTCAGTGAACTTATCCCCAGCAAAGCCACACCTCTATATCACAAACTCCCTCACTCTAGGCCACTGAGAGGCCTAATATCATTAGCATGAGTTATAGCTGAAGAAACTACCGAGATTATATTGCTATATTTACCTAGAACCAAAACCAATGCAGCCCTTTGATCCAATACCCCAGGACCCATCTATGTGAATAAGTCTCTCCATATGAAACCTATTCCATAAAACTGAAAAAGGCATATAAATCAATATAAAGACACATCAAACATGAAAAAAGAAACATGATACCTCCGGAGAAATACAATTCTCTAGTAACAGAGAATCATAATGAAATACATAAAATACATAAAATTTCAGAAAAGAAATCAAAATAGTAATTTTAAGGAAACTCAGTGAAATATAAGAGATTGCAGATAGGATAGATAATCCAATGAAATCAGAAAACAATTCATGATCTAAATGAGAAATTCAACAAAGATATATATATATATACATATATATATATAAAACAGAAATCCAAGAGCTGAATGATTTAATTAAATAAAAAATACACTTGACAGCTTCAACCACAGACCACTAGATCAAGGAAAAGAAAGAATTTCTGAACTTGAAGACAAGTATTTTGTAATAACAGGAAGATTTAAAAAAAAAGAAAGAATACATAATTTAGGTGACACCAATAAGTGAATAAATATTTGCATTATGGGCATTTCAGAAGTTGAAGAGAAGTAAAAAGATATAGAAA